CAGTCATGAAATGTGATCATTTGCACCAGAAGAAAGTAGCTTCAGTTCCAACTTTGTTCAGTCACGCATTCCAAAGCACTGATCGCATCGAGATCCACTGAAAATAAAATTCCAAATTCTTCGCTGACGTTTCGCCTGAAATATTTCTCAAGCCCACAACCTGACAAATACAAGTAGTCATCTCGCCAAAGCAAGTCTGAACTAGTCTTTTCTAGTTCGCAACTGTAAGGTATCTCACCGCCCAGATTGAACCATGAGTAAATGGAAAGCAAAAGCTTCACAGCGTAGGTGTCACCGCTCCATTTGGACGTCTTAGAACGAGTGTTGGCCGGATGGACTGGACCCGCGTGCCGAACCGCGCCGCTGCTGCTGCCGCTATTGCTTGAGCCTTGGCAACGGTTGCAGCACTGGCAATGCCATCGTCACCGCTATTTCAAGAGGTGACCAACTCTTTCCCGCGACCGATGAACTCTCCGTTCAATCTCTATTTATGACTGACCCAGACACATGAGGCCACGCTGGATTCTGATTCATTTTAATCTGAATAAGCTGTCTGCTGATTTTAAAATGGTTAGCTTTACATGTACTGCATCACATTACTGTTGACATCTTAGAGAAATCCATATTTATGTCATTCCAAAACCACTATAATCTGTGGGTTCCGTCTGAAATTTTTAAAAAAGTAAATGAAGTAGAATATTTTCATCATACCAATAAAAAGATTGAGGACTAGTTTTATCTATTTTTTCAGGACTCTCGGCAAGAGATTTGTAACTTAGTTTACTCAAACTTAAAAAGCGAATTGTTGAAGCACTGTTTCTAAAAATTATTCATACCAACTGAAATATTTTTACCATGACATCTCTGCACTACAAATTGCTAAGCAAAATGAAATGCTCACGAAAATATGCTTCCTCTATCGATTGTAAAGCGCACGCGATGTATGTATTACCGTAAGAACAATCCACTATTTTTATGTTCACCAGCACGCCATGCTTTGATAGAAGTCTAGCACAAGGCCGTACCACCAAGAAACAAACTTAAAAAAATCAGTATCTGAAAAAAAAGCCCTATAATACCAAAGGAAATGGGTCAATACTAGCTGCTAGGCAGTCATATTGCGACTATATTTCACGAGGAAAATTAACAGAACTATAAACATTCTGCTGGTCACGTTTGTGTATCTCAGAGGATGAGAAACCTGTCTCGGCTACTCTGAGAAAAAAAAATTAGTCGTACCGGATTTTGCAGAAAATTAAAAGAAATTGCAGTAACCAAAAAAAGATTTTGCAGAAAAGAAAAAAAAAAGCGCTTCGGAATTTTCCGGTACTTTTCCATCCGAGCAGAAAAGTTTACGAAGCTATTTTGAACTAATTTCACTTCCAACACATTTACGTTCTTTTATTCGTACGGACTTCCAATCAAAAATCTTAATGCACGTCTTATCTCTCCCTTTCCAGTCCATTAATACATCGTCTTCCAAGCACAAAAGCTCGTCAACAAATGCTACAACGCTCGTAACTCCACATGTGAAAATTGTACGGCTCGCGGACCGCAACCGGCACGGCGCGTCTAGCGCCACGTCGTCCTAGGCCGGGGCGGTGCGGCGTGGAGTGGCGTGGCGCGCCACGTGGCCCTCTAGCCTCGACGCGGCGCAGCGCCGTGCACATTCCGCGCGTCACGCGCACGCGGTTCCGCTTCCTTCGGCGGACGCTGGCCGCCGCGGCGGCGCACGCCGAGGAAGCGCCGCGAAAGGCCAGCGAGACAGGGTCGGCTGCGCATGGCGCGGAAGTATTAGGAAGCTATTCTAAAAAGGCTGGAGAATTTTCGCTTGTTCCACGCAGGATCGGATCGCGAATAACTGTAATGCGAACGTCGTACCCGTCTCTGTTAATAGTTCGGCGGGTGGAACTTTCAGTTCCTATTAAATTGGGTGGACCATACAATAAACCAATACCCAAGCAAACCCACTTTTAATGATAGATTCCACTTCTGTGTCTTATTTTGTTTCTTTGAGCAGTACTCTTGTTTCGGGTCAAACAATTTCGTGCGTGATTAGCTAATTTCGAGTTCATTTTAGTATGTCAATTGCACGAATAATTAACTACTAATAAATTGTATCGCGAATCGCGAATTTTTAATGCATTTACAAATTTCAATAACTATTTGACTGTTTAAAATTTTTGCTCACTTCTGGAGGCACCGAGTTATTACTGGATAAACTTATTAGATGTGCAGATTTATACCGAATTGTCCCCTTAAGGAGCCCTCTGCATGAAGAAACTATAGAATCTTTGTGATGTCTAAATACTGAACATTAGTATTAAAAATAAATGTGAAATGACTAATCTGGCCATTAAAATTGTCAAATATTTGACATTTTTATCTACCAATATTAAATTCTGTAAAAAATGGAAGGGCTTAAAACAAGTAAGGAGGGAGGAGCTCTAAGAAGGTGCTTGGTCTGCTGATCCACCCCTGGATAGACCCTTCTCCATGTATTGTGGGCCCGAGCACCTCAGTTTCTCTCCTGGGTTACAGCTAGGAATGAGATTTCGATGCTGATGTTTTCAAAGCGTCTAGGTTTCTAGAAAAACATGTCTTAAGCATCGACGTGTTGAAGCAGATTTTTTGAAGTGTTAGATGTTTTGTTAATGGATGAAAAATTATCATAATCACAATTTTGTCAAAGTTAAAATATGAAATAACTGACGAGATTATAGTTTATATGTTGGAACCAACAATCTTGTTTCGTACTACCTTCAATGTGTAGACCCTCCTTCACCCGAGATGATCCTAATACCCTGGAATTGTCTTCGTCTTTCCTCATTTCGTACATTGAGAGGCTTTTTTACTGTTTCCAGTTAAATTTTGATTATGCTTCAATTCTTGAACATCTATGCTTCAATTCTTGAACATCGATGCTTCAATTCTTGAACATCGATGCTTCAATTCTTGAACATCGATGCTTCATGTTGCATTACTAGTTCCAACCGCCCTCGTCGCATCTCGCCAAGCACTGACGCTCTCCGCGAAAGGCCAGAGAAGCAGTCACGGCGGCCTCCGAAGGCCAACGAATCTTACGGTCTGGTTACTTCGGAAAAGCATACGATTATACAACAGTATTGTTTTAACGTCTTCCTGTTTAGTTCTAGTTTCCGTTCGGTCAGTTTTATTTACTGCACCTGCGAGAATAAATAATAACTTCCAACACCAAGAGCTTTTCCACAATAAAAAGTCAAAATTGCACTCCGAAAACGCCTAGGATACCTCTTAATTACATAACCATTTTCAAACTAGTTAATCAGTATTAATCATACTAACATAATTTTCGCTTTTTATTGTGAACATCGTATGCAAATCTTTCAAGGGAGTACAATTATTTACCCTTTCCCGGTTTTTGCGTGTGACATTTATGTGACGTTTCTGCAACGCCGTTGCTTCCTCCCGAGGCTAAGCTTTAACCGCATTCTCTAGGAAATCGATTCTGCTACTCGCAAGGTTGTCTAGTTTCTCCGAGTCGTCACGTGAATCGATTGAGAAGTAATATGAAAACTTC